GCCTGCTCGCACCCGGCGGTTCGCGCAAGGTGGGAGCAGAGAATGAGGTGAATTTCGCGCTCTTAGCCTTTCGGGTGGGACGAGCGCGGCGCGGGCGCTCACACGCGCCGAGGATTTAAAGCCTGGAGGTCTCAGCAGCCCTCCAGACTAGCCGCCGCGGTCGCTTCACAATGAGCGTGTGCGGGCTGGGGGCGGGGCCGGAGGAGCCCCGAGGAAGAGCCGGTCGCCCCGCCCACGCCGCCGGCGGCACGTCGGGATGCCTCCGCGTTCGTGTGCGAACCGCCCACGTAGCGTTCGATGCTTCCGCCGTCCCGGGGCTGGTGGGCGGGGTCTAGGTGCCAAAGAAAAATCCCTACCTTTGAGGCAGTTGGTTGCATGTCGAAGAGCTGCCTGCACCCGTGCCTACTTGAAGTAAAAGACTGTAGAGCACCTGGTATCCTGATCTTTGCAGCTCCGTCCAGCCCGGCCCTAAGTGCTTAAACAGATCGTTTCACCACGCCCGCGGAGGAAGCCGGCGAATGCGCTCAAACATTTCAATTGTGATGCGGGCGCAGGACCGAGCCGGGGTTTGATCCATTGTGCATAGGGCCACCGTGAGTCCGGGCTGGACAGCACAGTCGGAAATGGCTTCGCAGTGCCAGAGAAGGAACCCATCCACTCGTGACAGTCTATCTGAGGAAGGCCAAAATTCTGAGGCTGGATCAAAACGTTCCACCTAGCTCCGAGAGGAAGACCCACTCATTCAAAATTAGTTGCCCGTTGGGGCTTTAGGCTAGATGTTTTGGATACACTATGCGTTTCCGTCTTTCCGTAGATGAGACCCAGGATTGATGAACCTATTGGGACAGCAAGTAGAATTCGGGTGGGGGGCAGGGAGGTGGGGGTGAAAGGGAGTCCGCGGAGAAAAAGATTGGAAACTGATGGTGGTAACGATTGTACCATTCTGCTTGACGTGATTGAAATATGGAATGATAGGACATATGTACTAAATCCCAACTGATAAACCATTATCTGCTCTCAAGGACATAGGAGCTATTCTAGGGGAAAACCCAAATATATTTTATAGAGTCTTGAACAGGACACAATGATCCAGACGAGGGAGAGCACGAAGTCCTAAAGGTGCCTGAAGGGTTCATAGTCACAGGTGGCTATTTAAATAGAAGACAGAAAACAAAGGGAATGGCCACATTCTGATTGGCGGCAGAGGGCAGGTCCACTCATCGCATCAAGA